TATATATATATATATATATATATATATATATATAAGTTGGGATCATATGAGACCAATTAATGCTTTTTCGTGAGACCCGTAAGACCAATTCTCAACCCTTGGATTAGATATATAATTTCAACATTCTTAATCACAAAATTGCCACGAGATTTCTCAATAATTACAAAATTGTCACCGTGCAACTTTAGACCATTAGATCATTGGCTTATAAAGTTGATCAATGAACATAAATTGGTCTCACGGGTCTCACGAAAAACCCTTGGTCTCATGTGAACTCAACCCATATATATATATATATATATATATCATCTAACAAATAACATTTAAATTACTGTAGTGGATTGTGTTATAACTCTTTTAACTCGTTAATTGAAACGTAAGTTTCCAAACTTAAACCATTTCTATAAAAACATTTTATGGAACGAAGGACGATTACGTGTTCTTTGGAGAATCACATATACGGCAATCTAATAAATGATTTGACACTATGATGTAAAATTAAGATCGAAAATTATATCTAGTAAAAAGCATGACGATCACGGAGGTTCTTACTTGATAAGTAAGGGAGAAGTCTCTTACCTAGTTAGCACTTATCGGGCAAGAAACGCTTACAAACGATTCATTTTGATCTCCAACAATGTTACCCAAAAAAGTAAGTTCGTTTAATGACTTTTATCGGTAATTAGTTTTACGAGGTAAAGAGTGATGGTCCAATTTATGGTCTTATATTTATGATAAAACAAGAATGAATTAATGAAATTTATTCTTGAAAAACGACATTGCTTAATGCTAATTTAGAATAAATCCAACCCAAAATTAACCAAAACAAATAAACCCTGTAAATTAATTTCATATAAAGGTATTTTTTTTTAGAGGCGTAAAATCTATATACATATTTTTTTACACCAAAGGATAAAAGAATTTGTTTACATCAACACCCAACTTATAAAAAACACAAACCTAACTCAAGATCTATATGACTCGAATACAAATGGTTAACAAAAAAAATAAAACACACACACATATATATATATATATATATATATATGAGTTGTTATACAACCTTTTACATTTTTACAATCAATACAACCTAATTTCAACCGTCAATTTAATTTGATGAATATATGATTTCATAAAAAATTTGATTGTTTTATAATATAAAGTATTGATCATAATTAATGAACTCTAGTCATCTTCCATAAATATTCAAATCATTATAATTGAACTCTCATCATTTCCATAAATAAATATCTCAATTGATTGGTTTGCATTGATTGAACAAATGAACATGGTTGCATTTGAAATATACCTATATATATATATATATATATATATATATATACAAATCAATATACAAAATCGGTTTATAGGATGCAAAAAAAAATGTCTAAGTGTCTTAATACGTTGTTTTATAAAACTTATGTTTATATGATCAAACAACATATAATAAGTTTATAAGACATTTTTACCTTTTTATAGATTTTTTTTGAAAAGTTTCCTCCGAGTGCATTTTTATAAGACACCAATTAGTAGAACGTTTTAGTTCAAAAATGTCTTTAAAAAATTGTTAATATGTATAAACTTATTGTAATACTTTTATATATGATATATAAAAAAAATGAAAGAATGAAATAAAAGGATGTGTGTGATAGAGTTTATGATTTTGTATTTTAACTTAAGACCAAATGAATAGACACACCATAAAATTAATAACAAAAAGAAAAGGAAGAGAAATTGAATTATATTCAATGATGCTTGAAGAAACAAAATAGGTTTGGTAAACATCCCCCTTTTCTTCCTATATAAATCAACATTTGCTGCTGCGTTTCTATACATACAAACACTCTAAACCCAGAAACGCAACAACCACAAGATCATACCTCGTGCGAAACACAACGATCAAGTGATCTTGAGGCACCGTCGCTTTGTTGCTGCTGATTTGATCATAATTGGCCGCTAACAAAATGATGACGATCAAAGGGAGAGTGGTGTTGATGAAAAAGAACGTGTTGGATATCAACGACTTAAGTGCATCTGTTTTGGATCGAGTTGATGAGCTTTTGGGAAAAAGCGTCGTTATACAACTTATCGGTCCACATGGATCTCATCTTCATTCCTCCGGTTCGTGCTAAAATCTTTCTTTTTTCACTCATTTAATAGAGGTTGTGGTTCAATCGAAGATGAAATGTACACATATTATCAGGATATAAGTTGTCTTTTTACATTTTCTGTTATTAGGAAAATTGTAACCTTTTCTTTAATAAAAGCTTAATCTAATTAATACTTATCTCACCTGCCAATCATAAGCCTTGAGCTTTTATGCATTATTCTCAAAGGTCCAGCGGATTGAGTCCTGCAAGGCCACAAGGGTTCTCCTTACTCTTCTTGAAGGCCTTTGAGATTAATTAGTCGAGATGCATGCAAGTTGGTCCATACATCAAGGTTAAAAAAACAGTAATCTTTTAGCTTTTATATATATAGGGTTGAGTTTCGTGATACCAACTTGTTTTCGTGAGACCTGTAAGACCATTTTTTTACAATTGAAGCTTCACAGCAAAAAAACTATGAAAGTCCAAATGCGGTGATCAGTCGGCTCGTTTTAATTTGCGGGTTGGATATCAACGTTAATTAACAAAAACAAAACAATTTTTTTATTCTCAAATATCACTTAAAGATTGTTTGTTTTAATTTTCTTTTTGAATCTCTTATATCTTCATTACAATTACATTATAAATAACGATTTATTCTTTTATCATATATTTGTTTTGTAGAAGGAAGCTTGAGAGGGAAGGTAGGGAAGCCTGCGATCTTGGAAGACTGGATTACCACAATTACCCCTTTGACAGTCGGGGAATCGTCGTATAAAGTATCATTTGAATGGGATGAAGGTATGGAAGTTCCAGGGGCATTTCTGGTCAAAAACCATCACCACAGTGAATTTTACCTAAAGACCCTTACCCTTGAAGACGTTCCTGGCCATGGCCAACTCCATTTTGTGTGTAACTCATGGGTTTACCCTACAAAACGCTACAAAAAAGACCGTATTTTCTTCGCTAATAAGGTATACTTTGAACTCGTATTTAACCATACAAATGTTGATTTCTTGATATATATATATATATATGTATATGAAACAGATGATCATCGGGGACAAGTTAACTCAAGTTCTTCTGGTTTGCTATTATTATTTTATGTATATAATATTTTTACATAACTTTTTATATATGTGACAGTCGTATCTTCCTAGCGAGACTCCAACATATCTACGTTCATACAGAGATGAAGAGTTGGAAATCTTGCGAGGAGATGGAACAGGAATGCTTCAAGAATGGGATAGGGTTTATGATTACGCTTTCTATAACGACTTGGGAGATCCTGATAAGGATGTTGCGGACGTCCGTCCAGTTCTTGGAGGCTCTTCAGAGTATCCATATCCTCGTAGGTGTAGAACAGGCAGGCCAACAACCAAATCAGGTTTCAAGTCTTACCTATAATAAGCTAACAAGTCACTGTAACAAAAATCAAATTTATAAAGCATTAATTAATGTCATAATAGATTATTTAAGAGAACGCTTTATGAAAGTCTATTAGAATAATCAGAAGTTTTCAGCATCATAGGGTCTTTTAGATTATGTTATCTATAAACTGATTGTATATTGTTTTCGTCGATGCGATAGATCCTAAAACGGAAAGCAGGCTTCCACTTCTTATGGGCTTGGACATATATGTTCCCAGAGATGAGCGATTTGGACACTTGAAGTTGTCTGATTTTCTTGCTTACGGTCTGAAATCCATCGTTCAGTTTCTCGTTCCCGAGTTTGAAGCTCTATGTGACAGCACCCGCGATGAATTTGACTCGTTCGAAGATGTGATGAAGCTTTACGAAGGAGGATTCAAGCTGCCCGAAGGCCCTTTACTTGATCACATTCGACAAAATATTCCTTTAGAAATGCTGAAAATACTTCTTGAAACCGATAGTGATGGTGTAGCCAAATTTCCAAAACCACAAGTCATCAAAGGTACACCATTCATTCGATACTCTACATGCATGCGTATATAAGATGATAAAAATGTCTAGGTGTTAGATTGCTTTACATGACTTAATAAAACCAACAATTGTGCGACCTATATGAAAGCGTTGCAATTAATTTACATGACGTTTTTGTGCACCTTATTAACTTTTTTAGGATTTTTTTGAAAGAAGACTTCGTGTTAATTCTTTATACAACATTTTCTGAAACGTTGTCTTTATAAATTAAATAGCTAATACAATACTTTATTTTAAAACTTTCCATAAATACTTGTTCAAATGCCCAAAACTGTCATATAAACTTATTGAAATGCTTTTATATATGACGTACAATTGTCCTATAAAATTCGCCCTATAAAATCAGTTTAGAACATTTGGATAGTTTTGGCCTCTTATAAAGACCCGATTTTGTTGTATAGTATGCTTCTTTACGAACGTCTGATTACGACATATAGTTTTAGAAATGAGTAGTAATGTTATCAGTATTTTATAATAAACATTAATAAGCAAAAATAAGTAAATTTGGGTGATGTATTTGTAGAGGACAAGTCTGCTTGGAGGACAGATGAAGAATTTGCAAGAGAAATGTTAGCCGGAGTCAACCCTGTTAGCATATGTATTCTAAAAGTAAGCTAAAATAAGGTTTTTTCTTTCTTTTTCTGAAGAATAATCTGCTGTGGTAGCTTACATTCTCATATGTTATAAGAGTCAAGGTCTACCACTCTAGGGACTCAAACTTTGGGACAATATGTGTCTGTTTAATTCGCCCTCTCTTGACACTTCGGGACAATAGACTCCCATTGTATATAGCTTTCACTGGAATGTTAGAGTTCTACGTTAGCTAGACTTGAATCATTTCTCTTTTGGATTAATCTAACGGGATTCCTCTCATATTCTCACAAAATACATTTGGTATTGCAAAGAGGAAATCAACCGATGCGAAAAAGTAAAAAATGTTGAGTTTATCAACCTGTTAGAATTTTTATTTTTTGTTTTCGCAAATGAAATTTTGGTCGCAAAAGATGATTAGTCTTGTTGCTGAACTTGCATTGCTAGCTAGATTTGCTTCTTTTTTTTTTTAACTTCTTACGCCCCCGATGGTTCGTAAATTCTTTTGATATTGTAGGAGTTTCCCCCTACGAGCAAGCTCAACGTTCAAGTCTATGGTAACCAAAACAGTTCGATAAAATTACACCACATCGAGAAAAACCTGGATGGTTTAAGGGTGGAGGAGGTATATGATCTTTTCTAAATCCATTCCAATCATAATGAACTTTTTTTTGTTAACCGTTGGTTTTTCTGGTTCAGTTTGTATGCACCTTCACTAATCCCTTGGGCCAACGAGAATATGCACTAAAATCCCCAATGACCTTGGATACATTGAACCAGTGACATTTTGAAAGGAGTCCCAAGGGCCACTGAAACAAAATCAGGTTTATAGGACGTCAAAAAAATGTAAGCGTCCTAATAGACCGTTTTATAAGACTTAAACTGTAAGGCAAAAAAAATAAAACGTCCATTCTAAAAAGGTTGTAATAAGTTTATAGGACGTTTTAACAAGTATTTTAGGATACTTTTAATGTAAAAACGTAACATTAACAATTTTATAGGACACTATTTGAAAAAATTGTTCTGTTAATTAAAAAAGTATACTATAAAAAGATGGGTTTATATATAGGATATTTTCTCAAACGATCTTATAAAATTGCTAATGTGATGCTTTTGTATTAAAAGTTTCTTAAAAACCACAAGACAATTAAAAAAGCTAACTATAAACTTATTACAACGTCTTTAGATAGGATGCTATATTTTTTGGTCTTATAAATGAATTTCTATAAAACGATTCATAAGGACGCTTTTTTTTTCTCTCTTCTTTCCCGCAAATTTATCCATTTTACTCGGTTGGGGAGCGGAGGTACCCTCGAGTGGTGGCTGGGCAGTGATCTTTGTGGGTCAAGCTCCCATACCCGCTCCTTACTGCCATCCTCCCCGTCGAATTTCTGGGGTTTTAATTAAAAGAGATAAAAGAAAAGCCACTTACTTAGACGATGCATGGAAGCAAGCAATTGGACATTATCCCCGGGCCGGCACTAAGGCGTCTATGATGTTATAGGCATTTTTTCCGGGCGAACGCATTGCAGACATGCCTTTGGATATGGTTTCCGTTGATTGAATTAGTCTTACCATCATCTTCTCTGCTAGTTGTAGTGCCCCTTTATAAAAATGATATTTTTCTGCGAGACTCCATCCAACCAAATCCCATTTTTAAAAACTGGTGGTTTCCTATAAACTCAATTATGTTGTAGAAGACCCAAATCTTTTTGTCAGTGAGTTAATCATAATTAACTTGTTAACAAACATGATCAATGGAAAATCTCTTGTTTCAAATTCTTGGAACACAGGCACTGAAGGCAAACAGGTTGTTCATATTGGATCATCATGATTCATTGATGCCATACTTGAAAAGAATAAATGCAACCACGAACAAGATTTATGCCACACGAACTTTGCTCCTGCTACAAAATGATGGAACTTTAAAACCAATAGTGATCGAGTTAAGCCTGCCACATCCTGAACAAGATAATCTTGGTGCCATTAGCGAAGTATACACCCCGGCTGAAAATGGAGTTGAAGGATCCGTTTGGCACTTGGCCAAAGCATATGTAGCCGTTAGCGATTCTGGGATTCATCAACTCATCAGTCACTGGTACATTAACCAAAACTCATAGAACACTTTAAGGAATAACTATGCTAGCATAGCTTTTTGTTCTCACACTGCCTAGACTGGACCATTTGTCTTTAATATTTGTTGGAACCTCTTCTCCATAAGGACACTTTTGGCGAGTAATTTGAGGATTCCATTTATTCTCACCTGGTAAATATCAATGCCAAAATCTACAACTCTAAGGATTTGACACTTTAGGCAATATGTGTTCGTCTTAGCCTCTGTTGGAGGTCGTGTGTTAGAGTCCCACATTATTTAGACTTGGACTATTTCTCTCATCAATATATGTTGCAACTTCTCTCCTCCCCTCGAAGGCTCTTTTTAGAAAGTAATTTTTGAGGGTTCCAGTATTAATGTTAGTAGAGTCAAGGTTACTACCCTGAGGACTAGACACATTGGGAAATCTCTACTCATGTAGCCCTCTCATGCATCTAGCTCCCTCCTCACACTTGGGAAAATCATTGTCCATCTAGCTCCTATTGGGGCCGTATTAGAGTATTACTATACATCGTCTAGACTTGCACCATCAATTCTTTTCATTATACGTTAGAACGTTCTTTCTATCTTGAAGAGCTTTTTGTAAATAATTTGGAGATTCCTCATATTCTCACACTTTTAACAAGATTGTACGTCTCTTTACAGGTTGCATACACATGCAGTTACTGAGCCATTTGTGATTGCTGCGAATAGGCAGCTAAGCGTCCTCCATCCAATCCATAAGCTTCTCTACCCTCATTTTCGTGATACAATGAATATCAACGCTTTCGCTAGGCAAATCTTGATCTATGGCGGAGGTATACTTGAGAAAACAGTATTTCCTGGAAAATATTCCATGGAATTATCTTCTGTGTTGTATAAGGATTGGGTCTTCCCTGAACAAGCACTTCCGGTGGATCTTATCAAGAGGTAAGAACTAATAGATACAGTTTTCGATATATTTTATTCTGAAAGTGTCATAAAAACTTGTTAAAACATCCAAAAACAACTTATATACTTATTGTAACACTTTTAGATAGGACGATTTATTGCATGGTCCGGTAAACTTAAGTTCTATCACTACAACAAAATCGAATTTATAGGACGGTTAAGTGTTTAAGTGTCCTAATAGAGTGTCCTATATAAAATTTAAGTTTATAGAACCAAAAAATAAAACGTTCTATCTAAGAGTATTAAATAAGTTCATATGACGTTTTTGGACGTCGTACAAATTTCTAGGACCTTTATAAAATAGAATGTTGTATTAGCCATTTCCTAGGATACTTTTGAGAAGTGTCCTATAAATCCATTTTTTTGTAGGACCCTTGTGTTTATTGGACACATTTTTAAATAGTGTCTTATAAAATAGCTAGTACGACACTTTATTTGAAGAATGTTCTAAAACTTGTTACGACACCTAAAAGCGTCTTATACACTTATTGTAACACTTTTAGATATGACGCTTTATTTTTTGGAACATAACATTCTATAAAACACTTTATTAGGACACTTGAACAATTTAGGCGTCCTATAAACTCAATTTTGTTATAGTGTATTGAGTAGTTTTATTAAAGAGAGTTGCACACTTTTAGGATCTTGTAAACCCAATTTTGTTGTAGTTTTTCTTAATTATCGGTGCATTTAACACTCAGGGGAATGGCTGTTGAGGACTCGGATTCTCGTCATGGACTACGCCTGCTCATCGAGGATTACCCATATGCAGTTGACGGGCTTGAGATCTGGTCAGCGATCAAATCTTGGGTTGAGGATTACTGCAAATTCTACTACAAAACCGACCATATGGTTAAAAACGACAAAGAACTTCAATCATGGTGGAAGGAACTACGAGAAGAGGGACATGGTGACAAAAAAGAAGAGCCATGGTGGCCTAAAATGCAATCTTGTCAAGAACTGATACAAATCTGCACTACATTCATTTGGGTGGCTTCTGCTCTTCATGCATCTGTGAATTATGGGCAATACCCTTATGCTGGTTATCTCCCTAATCGTCCAACTCTGAGTCGTAGGTTTATGCCCAAGCCAAATACTCCTGAATACGACGAATTAAAAGAGAATCCCGATAAGGTTTTCTTGAAAACAATTACTCCGCAACTGCAAATGCTTCTTGGGATCGCTCTGATTGAGATATTGTCAAGGCATTCGTCGGATGAGGTTTATCTTGGACAAAGGGAGTGTCCTGAGTGGACAATGGATGCTGAACCTCTCAAGGCATTTGAGAAATTTGGGAAGAAGCTTAAAGAGACTGAGGAGAGAATCGTGCAAATGAATAACGATGAAAGGTTGAAGAATAGGGTTGGACCAGTGAAAATGCCGTACACCCTACTCTACCCGACAAGCAAAGAGGGAATTACCGGAAGGGGAATCCCTAACAGTACGTCCATGTGAAACTGAAACCAACCAATAATCATTGTGTTGCCAAAACTTGAATAAAGAAAGACAATTACGAGTCTTCGGATATTATTCTTGTATTGTGTTTATATGAAATCTATATGTATATTTGTTCTTTATTTCCACAATCTTCATTCATAACTAAGCAAATAACTACTTGAAGGGGTAGCTGAGTTGGCAAAAATGATCAAGCATGAGGATCATTTCGAGCATCTCGATCGCTGATGTCATCACTTATAGAGAGTATACGTGACCATAAACTGTGAACTTGAATCAAAATTCATATAAACCAGTGGTTTTTTGGTTCATGGTTTCATTTTTTAAAGTAACTTCAAAGAGAAATATGAATGAATGGTTAAGATACCTTCAACTTCAACCAAACTGCAATATTGCTTTATCTTTCAAAAATAAGAGATTTATATGAAGATTAGGTTCTACCAAAATGAAAAAAAGGCCACTGGTAATGATTGTATATGAGTAGGGTGGTAGTAAAGTTGAGTGGTAGGTTGTTTGGGTTTGGCTTGAGCTCCACTTGAACTCGGAATAAGTTTATTCAAAATGATACATTCAGGCTCAAATATTTTTCAATGTTTCAGGTTGAATTTTTTTGAGTTACACACTATAACTTACAACTTTATAAACTTGTTTATGAGCTGGGCTCAAAAATGATAATTTCTATATTTTAAATGTATGATCATATATATATATATATATATATATAGGGTTGGGTTCACGTGAGACCAAGGGTTTTTCGTGAGACCCGTAACACCAATTTATGTTCATTGATCAACTTTATAAGCTAATGATCTATTGGTCTAAAGTTACAAGTTGGAAATTTTATAATTATTGAGAAGTCGCGTGGCGTTTATGAATGTTCAGATCTGACGATTGTAAATCTAATCAAAGGGTTAAGAATTGGTCTCACGGGTCTCACGAAAAACCATTTGTCTCATATGATCTCATGTCTCTCTCTATATATATATATAGACTTGGGATCACGTGAGACCAACCTGTTTTTGTGAGACCCGTGAGACCACATTTTTACACTTGAAACTTCACAGCAACATACTGTGAAGGTAACCTTCACAGTGTTTTTGCTGTGAAGGTTTGACTTTTTTAAACCTTCACAGTGTTTTTGCTGTGAAGTTTCAAGTATAAAAATGTGGTCTCACGGGTCTCACAAAAACAGGCTGATCTCACGTGAATCCAACCATATATATATATATATATATATATATATATATATATATATATATATGGTTTGGTTTATGCAACATTGATGTTACATAACACGAATAGTTGAATTAAACGAGTTTTATCTTAATATTTAATGGTGGCATGATAACATGAATGCCTTTTTATTGGTATATATTCATAAAGAAAACCAAAAACTCATCAAAATTGAGGTTGAATTACATTAGTTCTTAGATATAATTAAGGTAAGAAGATGCGCAAGTACATTTTCTATAAAAATCAATAATTGATTTTGACTTTGGCCAAAGGTGGTTGTGCTCTCAAAATCTTTGTTGGTAAAACATAGAATTAGACAAAAATGCCTGTAAAGGAAAACAAATTGACAATGAAATATGTGATTCCAAACAAGTCATGAGATGATGTTGATGCCCGTGAAGAATGGCCTCTTGATTTGGCACTCTTGTTTCTTTATGGCAATGAAAGACCTTCTTCAAGTTCGTGAAGGACGTGACTTGTGCGCCTACGAAGGTGGATATAAACCCTTTGTTGTCTCTTTATGACCGTAAAGGAGGATAAAATCTAAATTCCAACTTTTTAGCAATTTTGGATCGAAACAAGATTCTTCCAATTGCTTAGTATAGATATCACCATTTTTTCTAGAATTAGACACCTAAGCGTTTTACTGTAAAGTGTTTCTCCAGATCGATGACTCTAGATACTATGCCACGTGTTACAAGTTGATTATTCAGTGTTGTAATTTAATGTAATCGTAGCCTTTTCGTTCTATAACAATAAAAGATAGATTTATTTTAGTAACGTTTGATCATACAATTTGTGCATATATTTGTAACAATCTCTCTCTCTAGATTCATTTATGCTCATATTCTTCTAATCAATCAATGACATGATGATTTCATCAATTTCTATTCATTGACTTCTTGAATGTAAATCAGTACACGGGAACTCACAGATACTTTGTCATATTTCTTGATGATCATAGTTATTTTACCTGGATTTATCTTATGAAACAATGATCTGAGCTTTTGCAAATTTATAAGACTTTCGCCCATATGATGCCATGGAGGACAAGGATCAGTCATTTCTTGACTTTTTTGTTGTCAAAATACTCTCTCTCAATGCTCTTGCCCTGGTTATTTCTTTAGAGAACAGACGCACCGAATGGAAACATCAGCACATTCTTGATATCGTTCATACTCTTCTAATATCTACCAAGTGCCCTGATTGTTTTTGGGGTGAAGCAGCTTATCTGCCGTATACACCATTGTCAACCTATAAAACTTCTTAATCACAAATCTCCCTATAAGAGTCTTTATAGTACCTCTCCTACCTATGAGTTACTAAGAAGTATAGGGTTATGCCTACTTTGTACTCCTTCAACCTCATGAACCTACCAAACTTGAACCCCACTGTTGTCTATGTTGTTTCCTTGGATATGGTAAAGAACACAAAGGCTACCGCGTTGGGATCCCATCTCCCAATGCCTACGCATCTCGAGGCATGTTGTATTTTTGGAAGATCAGATGTTTTCTTTAGTTTCAAAGTTCAAGGTCCACTCTGATCCTTCTCCGTTCTTTACCGATCTATCTATTCCCTTCTTAGACTCAACCCCAACACCAATTTCTTCTCCTCCTATCGACACCATCTCTCAATATCTTGATCACTTTCCTCCATCTACCTCCTCCAAATTACCTATTCCTCCTTCTCCTGGCACTACATTTGATCCTCTATCTTTGATGAATCTTGATATGCCTGTGAGTTCTGATGATCCTACTGCTCCAATTGACGTTTAGTGATCTCGTAGGGTAACACATATACTTTCACACCTTCGTGATTTTCATTGTTATTCTACACTATTTTCTACCCATATTCCCTTTTCGTATAAGGCAACTTCTACTAACCCGCTCCAATTGAAGCAAGCTGTGACATTCTGTCATTTCTGAGCTTCAAGTTAGCACCTTATTAGAGATCCTATATTTAGAACTACATTTTACTAGGATCTAGTCATGATGATTAGAATTCACCTAGCTTAGTTCCCAAAGTTTAGTTCGGAAGATCATGCCTCAGCGGGTAACTGATAAAGTTAACTTGTATAATGTCAAATATTTTAGAAATACTCAAAATAAAATAAAGTTGATATTATAAACTTTTAAAATTAAAATACAAAGGTCTCATTTGAATGTCCAAATAATTTCGTCAAAAGTTGGAGCCTTGATTTATTAATGTCATTTTATTTTTTAATAATATTTGGCAAATTATATTTTTGGGTTCTAAGGGGCTTATTCTTGTTTAAAAAAGAGTTTTTATTGGGTTTGGACCTTTAGAGGCCAGCTCATTTCCTTTTTTAAAAATCCACATATAAATACCTTACATCATTTGAAAACTCTCATTTCCAATTATCATCAGCTTAAACTTTTCATCTCTCTAATCTCTCTCTAAAACAAACCTCCCTCCAGCCGATTCCATCTCCAGGCAAGCCTTTTAAAATTCTGTCAATCTTGAAGTATATTCAAGAATATAAGAAAAATGTATGATACTAGTTATTTTACTTTTGTAAAATAACAAAATTTTCATCTTCCTACTCCCACTTCTTGATCTTGTAGTTAAATTCTTGAGAGTTAAAAAGAGGAGATTATACATCAAAGACATGAAAATGTCTTCAAAAGGATGGTAATCTATGATCCATGTTCTTTGAACTCTAAGAAAGTAGGAGAAAACCTATTGCATGCAGAATTTAATCATGTAAAGTTATATTTCGAAATATCACTACAAAAATGTTGGGTATCAGCGAGGGAAAATTCCCTCGCTGATCCGTCGCTGAAAGTGCTTTCCGTCGTTGATCCGTCGCTGATACTCCGTCGGTCAAAATGTCGTAGGTAATGCTATCAGCGACGGATCAGCGACGGAAATCAGCAACGGATTTGCGACGGACACTTTCAGCGACGGAT